GGGCCAGGTGGGGCTGGGGGTGCTCTGGGGTGTGCCCAGTTCTGGAAGGCTGGACAAGATGAGCCCAGGGGAAGCCAACCAGCTCTTCTGCTGTGACACAGCGTGGAGGGCAAAGCTCGGCAGTGCCATGGGGTCCACCTCAGTGCACAGGTGGGGAAACTGAGGCCAGCAGATGACCCAGAACCTGACCTGAATCACAGAGCCAATGCTGGCTGTCAGGCACCACAGTGTGCCAGCCTGGCCCAAGGTCCTACGGTCATCGTCCCAGTCCTCCTCGGGGCTGGACACTGGTGCTATGTGGACATCGGCTATGGGCCCTGTTGTCAGGGAGATGGGAGCCAGGGGCACCTGGTATGCACCACTGTGTAGCCCGAATGCACTAAGGGACGTGCTTTCCTATCTGTGGTCAGCATTGTCACCCTGCAGAGTGCCTGTCTGCATCCGGCTCTGTCCCATGCCAGCTGCGACCCTCCAGCACCTGAGCTGGCTGTAAGGAGGGTGACGAGACCAGAGGAGGCTCCACACAGCGCTGCCAGGACAGTGCCTCTGCCACCCTCTTACCCCACTGCTCCTGCACTGGCACTCAGTCCTGCCCTGGGTAGGGAAGGGTGGCCACCCCCTCACCCTACCACTGTCACCTGCTGTCTGCCTTTCACTCTGGGAGGGTCACCGTTCTCTTAATCTTCCCCTCTGGCTTCCTTGTTGTCTTTTGTGGTGCCAGGGGGTGAACCAGGGCCCCATACTTAGCTGCATGTCCAGCCCCTTTTATTGAGGCTGGGGCTCCCTAAATCACTAAGTGACCCGGTCTGGGCTCGAACCTTGATCTCAGTCCCCTGCCTCAGCCTCCCAGATTGCTGGGATGACGGGTATGTACCACCTCACCCTGCTTCTGGCTTCTTAGTACTGGTGTTGCCCCTGATGCCTCTGTACCAAAAGCTGTGCCTTCTCAGCATGGAGCCAGAGTGGGCAGAGGCTTTGTTTTTTAAATGCCAGCCCTGTGGCAGCTTGCACAGTGGCCCTGGTGGTGATGGTGACTTCCCGCCAGACCCTGACATCAGCAAAGGGATTGCCAGGTGAGAGGCTCAGCGCTGGCCTCTGAGTGGGGCGACTTGGAAGAGATGCACAGAGAGGGAGGAGGGGCTGAGCGACAGCAGGGACGGTGGTAGCTGGTCTTGGAGGACACAGTTGGGACCCCAAGCCCAGGAGCTGCCCCCTAATACTTTGGTTTCAGCTTCCGGCCCCCAGGACTGACAAGACACACTTCTGCTCCCCCCTCGGTGGTGGGCACCCTGACAAGTGACGAGTGCCAGACCCAAGGTGGGCTCTGGGCGGCCACTGGTAACCGGGGTCCTAGGACCTCTGTCCCGAGGAAGTGGGCCACCCTGCATTCAGGGCCAGCCATGCTGGGGACAGACACAGGTGGCAGCTGAGTGAAGCAGCTGGGTGACGTCCCCAGGCATCCTGTACTGCTCCATTGCATTTCTGTCACCTGTGATGGGGCCACGTGGTGGGGGCAGACCTGCGTGACAGGAGGGCTCAGTGAGACTGGATGGATGCAGAAAGCTGGTGATGGTGATTGCGCTGGGTCCAAATCGTGGCCGTGGCTGTGCGAATTTCATGGGACCCAGCGACGCAGCTGTGTAGCCACATGTGGTCCTGGTGCAGCTGAGGGACGCTGGGGAGGCTCTGGGCCCCCATTCTGAGACATTGTGGCCATCTAGATTGATTTCAAAATGTAAAATAAAACAGTCTCTAGGGGAAGTGGAAACCATGCCAGGTATTCAAGGGGTCCTGTTGCTGGGACTGGAGGACAGAGAAGCCCCTGGGGGCCAGCAGCGACAGCACAGGCAGCTGTGTGCCCCAGGCTGGGGTGGGATCTCTGGGTCCTGGGAGGCAGAGTCACTGGCTGGTGACCAGAGATCCCCAGCCCTGCTGGGCAGGCAGCCCTCCTCCGGAAAGCGGCTCCTCCTCTCAGGAGGGGACCGTCCATCTGCTGGCACCCTGAATGGCCCCGAGTAGTCTTTGGAAGGGAATTTTCTTGTCCTTTCTGCCCCCTGTGAATGGATGGCACAGAGGTCACAGAGGGAGGGGCAGAGCCAGGGCCGAGGTGGCTCTGGGAGGCATCCCCGTGATCCCAGCCTCTCCTGCACTGGGGTCTCCCCAGTGGCTTCCCGGGGGCCACGCTCTCCAGCTGACCGCCCCTCCCGAGACCCCTCCTGGTTAGGACCACAGTGGCTCTTCTCACTCCGAGTCCTCACACACTTTATTGTATTTATTTTCATGTTTTAATGTGAGTTTCCTTCCTAACGATACCACATCCTGGACAATGCAGACTTTTACAACCATACATTGTTTCCCACTCAGAGCAAAGCTGTGTGTCTTATGAAAAAACACGGTAACTGTGAAAGAGCACACACTAAAATATGGGGGGTGGCTTTTCTATGTTTTGAGACAGAGTCTTGCTGTGTAGTCCAGGCTGGCCTGGAACTTGTGGCCATCCTCCTGCCTCAGCCTCCTGAGTGCCGGGATTAGAAGTATGCACCACCGCAGCGGGCTGTGGCGGTTGTTTGAAACATTTCTTTTGCTGTGCTGTGCCGTCCACGCTGGGCCATCCACGTGGCACGGATTGGAGAGGAGCCGCACCTGACTATACCCTGCTGACCCAGGCTTCCTGATGTCCACCAGAGCCGTGGGGACCTCGTCTGCTCAGGTGTCCACACAGCCAGCCATTTGCCCAGACAGCTGTGGCCAGGAGGGAGAGCAGGAAAGTGTCTCCTGTGGGCCCAGGGGACCTGCCCCTGCATTGGCTAGAACCTGCTTGCACAGTGAGGGGCCCCACCTCAACCCCGGCCCTGGGCGGCTGTGGGGTGCAGTCCTTCCCGCCACCCGATGCTGTCGGAGTGGGGACCTGATTTTGGGCAGGCGCAGCCCAGCTGTTTGGCCCAGGACCCGCCGGCCGGGAATAGGTGTGTCCACAATGCCCTGGTGTGACGCTGACCCATGCAGCCGGCCCTTCCTGCTGGCCGCTGACCTTAAGATGGCCATCCCTCATGAGTCCATGGCCAGGTGACAGGTGGGGCGATACCAGGGCCCCCAGGCAAGGGTGACGGGAAGGGACAGAGCCTGGTGCCCCTGAGCTCTGCTCTTCCTTGATGCTCTGTGACCTGGGCCTGCTGTTCCCGAGGGCTGGCTGGCCTGGCTGGACAGGAGAGAGTGGTGGTGGACAGTAAGGTCCTGGCTGGACACAGCTGCCCTCAGAGCCCCTCATGCCGGGTTTGGGGTCCTTGGGGCTGACACCCAAGGCTGCCCCTCCACTCCTAGTCTCGCTCCGTCGTAGCAGTGTCACACACTTGGTGGCTCACACCTACCCCCTCCATGGTCACGGAGCTCCTGTGGCCAAAGGTGGGCTCTGAGTCTCGACATGGAGTAACGGAGGGGGCAACCCGGCCAGGAGCACCAGGCCCAGGCCCTCCCAAGCCTTCTTGCTGCTGTGGGCTGGATCCCGGCTCCTGCAGGCTCACAGTCAGGCTGCCCAGTTCCCTCCACAGGGAGTCAGTTCAAGGCCAGTCAAAGGGCTCTCTGTTCATTTGTAGTGGCGCTTGCTTGTAATCCCACCACTCTGGGAGGCTGAGGCAGGAGCATTGCAAGTTGGGTCCCAGTCTGAATAATGTAACCCCTTGGGAGTCCTTGTCCCAAGACAGCAGACACAAAGGGCTGGGGCTGTGCTCATGTGAGGACCCCCAGTCGGGGGACATGTCCTCTATTGGGCCAGGCCCACCTCAGAGCAGCTCAGAATCAGAGACCTGATAGGGACCTCAGTGATGGCTGCAAGCTCCTGCCTTTGCCACCCCAGGCAGCACGTCACAGGAGTGACCATCATCACACAGACTCGTCAGCTGTGGGAGGGACCTCAGGACACAGGACAGCACTGCCCGCCTGCCTCCTGCCTGTCTCCAGTGACCTGGGGACTCTGCCTGCAGCCCAGCTGGGCACACTATATGCCTTGGACAGACAGACAGATGACTGAAGTCCGCAAGGCAGAGCTCCTGCCATGGACAGGTCCATCACTGCTCCCATACTGCTGCCGCGGCCCTGGACACCAGGACATGTGTGTGACACGGTCAGGTCCCTGGAGCACACAGCGGAGTGTCAAGGTCCGGTGGCACCTGAGTCCCGGCGCACTGAGTGGCCGCACAGCGCACGGCCCGGAGGACAAGAGCGCACACACTCGCTCCCATGGGTGCTCCCCACCCCCTCCGACCTCTCGGAGTCCACAGCCAGGGCTGAGCCACCCCAGGCAAGGGGCTTCCCTCCTCTGTCCAGGGTGGAGTTGATGGGGACCCCGGCGGGAGCGTGGCTTTTCCTCATTCCTGGACCCCAGCTTCTGGGCCCTCAGCCCAGCCTGACCTGCAGGCCCAAAGGGACCATCTGGAAAGCTCTCTGCCGCCCCTTGGTGGGAGGCTGACACCACACCGGAATCCGTTCTCTGGGGCCCCCTACCTCTATGGCTCCACTGCACAGGGACCCACAGGGGCGCCCCATCCCCCGGGGCCCTGCCTGCCCCAGCCCCTCCTTTTCTAGGCCTTGGTTTCCCTGCTAAGGTGGCTGGGGGACAAGAGTGAGGCGTGGATGTCACCTCTGCAGAGATGGACAAGTGGCACAAGGCCAGGTAAACGGCCTGATGTGTGGGCCTCACAGCGGGCAGTCACTGTCACCTCAGCGTTCTCAGAAGCCGAAGCAAGAGGATGGCAACTTGGGGCCCAGCCTGGGCGACTTAGAGACTTAGTGAGGTCCTCAGCCAGTGACGTGGGCTGGCCATGTAGCTCAGCTCAGGGCTCCCAGATCCTCGCTGGTGCCGGGAAAGAGAAGGGAGGGGAAGGAAGGAAGAGAAAAAGAGGAAGTGGGGGACACCAGCCATGGTGGGGAGTTTCGGGAAGCTTCCCTGAGCCCAAGGAAGCCCTGGGCCCAGAAGCAGTGGGCGAAGTGTCCTCAGAGCCACCTCGAGTCACTGGAAGCATTTATTGTGCTTTGCCCTCCTCCTCCCCTTCCCAGCAGCTCAGAAGCGGCGAATGGACCGCATGGCCCTCAGCCCTCAGGGTGGGCACCCGGGGCCAGCCAGGGGGCGCGGGCCCAGAAGCGCCGCGGGGCCAGGTCAGTCCTGCGGCCGTTGAGTTCGAAGGCAAAGGTCCTGGCCTTCTGGTAAAAGAAAAGGGACATCTCTCGGTCCACCAGGAAATGGTGGTAGATAGTGGCCAGCCGCGTGTAGATCTTCAGCTGCGCCCTCTTGTGGCCCAGGTCCACAGCCGCCGCCAGCGCCAGCTGGTAGTAGCCGGCTGCATCAAAGGGGTCCTGGGGAGAGGGGAGGCAGCCTTCAGGGGACAGGCAGGAACATGGGGATCCCAGGATGGCTCTGTTGTCCCCACCCCACTGTGGGGCTCCCGGGCTCTGCTGACCATGACACTCCGAGGGCTCAGGTCTGATCCTGCCCCCAGGAGCCAGGACAGGAGAACACGAAGCATTTGGTCCCACCCTGTGGCGACTGGGGACAGGGAGCAAGCAGAGGAACACATGACTGACCAGGAGGAGTGGCCAGGTTACAGCAGAGGGAGGCAGAGGCGCCCAACTCTGCTGACTGGGCGGGGAGGATTTCCTGGGGAAACATCCCCCTAAACAGACAAAGCCAGCAACATGTACCATGTGTAGTGCATGCATGTGTGTGCATGCATAGGCGTGCACAGGCTCGGGTTCACACCGGCACACATGCACACACACCACCTGCCTCGCTCATCTGGCTGTGATAAGCTATGTGCAGACTGAAGGTGACCATGTTAGACGTCTGTATCCAGAGTCCCCTGTGACCCTTGTCCTGCTCATTCCCATGCAGGGACATGGCTGCCCCTGGCGCGGGAGCAGGAGCAGGCTGAACGTGCCAACGCCTCAGGAAGGAAGTGGGGGGACTTCCTTGCCCTTGTCCCGCCCCGCCTGGCCTGACCTCAGTTCCCAGCAGCATCCTGGCCCTTTCCTTGCTGGGGGGGGGGGGGGCAGGGCGGATGGCAGGGATAACTGGAGAGACCAAGGCCCTGGCCACCTTCTGGGTGTGTGTGGGCTCCACCACAGAGGAGGCCCCCGGACCACTTCTGACCAGCAGGTGTCGCCAGTGCGTGACCACGACCTGCAGACTTGGGACAGGTGAGGGTTGAAGGGTGGCAGGGTCAGGCAGAGCCCACCTGGGCTGGGGCTGGTGCCAGCTGGACAATGGAGGACAGTTCAGGGCCTTATGGGCAGGTGGCACTGCCGGGCTAGGGCCAGGCGAGAAGGGGTCCCGGTCCCTGTTCCTGGAGTGCTGACCAGACAGGCACTCAGTCAAGCTACATGGGCTGCTGCTTCCTCTGAGCCTCAGCTTCCCTGCTGCCCCTCCCAGGGTGACCTGGTGATCAGGAGCCTGGGGACCTCAGGAAGGGGCTGCTGGGGGCAGCTGGAAGCTGGGAGGGCTGCAGTACGGACTGGGTCTGCACTTTGATCTCAGGGGCCAGTGGTGCCCCTCAAAATCGTTTTTCCCACTGTGCCCCATTTCCACTGCTCCCTGACAGACAAGGCAAGCTCTGGCACCACCTCCTCCAGGAAGACCCAACTGCAGTCCTCGCTGTGCCCTGAGTTCTGCAGGGCTAGGCCTGGCCAGCGTGGCAGCTGGGCGGTGTCTCACGGCCGGGATGGGCCCCTGCACCCACCTTCAGCTCATAGAAGATGATGTCGCCCAACGCCAGATACACCTTCACGTAGTACAGCGTCTCCTCCTCGAACTCCAGGGGCGAGCGGCATAGTGCCAGCGCCTTGAGGTAGAAGTGCTCGGCCAGCTCGCCGTGGCCCAGCCGGTGGTGCAGGGTGGCCAGCCGGTGGTAGGCCACACGCTCATTCAGCTGGTCACCTGGGGTGGGCGGACGGAGGGCAGGTGTGGGACAGGACCCGCAGACAGGGTGTGAGCCAGAAGACGTGGCCAGGCTCTTCCTGTCCCCAGGTTTGCTCTCCAATCTACAAAGTGGGGTGATCCTGCCTACACCCCTCTACCTAGGCGTTCGGCAGGGCCTGGCTCTGTGGCTTGTGTGAAGTTACCCACAGGGCATGCCTTCCATCATGGTTCTTAACAAGGACCCCAAAAGGCACATGACAATGGCTCTACCTGGGGGTGTCATGAGCAGAGCCCCCAACCTTGGGTGTCACTTCCTGTTGGAGCCCTGGGTCCTCCCTGCTAGCCTCAGTGGTCCCTGCATCCTGTCCCCTGGGGCCAGCCTGTGGAGGCTGCAGGCAGAGCTGAGGGCCAGGCTTGGGGTCCCTCCCTGGAGGCAGAGAGACATCCCAGAGGGCAGGATTAGGTGGCAGGACTCAGGGGTGCCCCACATTAAGGGACGGAACTTCAGCAGCTGGAGAGCAGCAGTAACTGCTGAGGGCCAGGAAGGGATATCAGGAAGGACATCGAGCAGAGCCCAGCCAGGCACGCTCAGGGTTAGAACCCTAACTAAGAGAGGCTGGGACCTCTGTGGGCACACGTGGTCAGCTGGGACAGAGGCAGGGGAGGCTGAACAGAGGAGTCCTGAGAGACACAGCCCTGTCTTCAGGGATGGGTGGGGGCTGGCTGGTCAGATCTGACCTCAGCTGCCTGGACTGGAGAGGGCAGCCCAGCAGCCTGGCTTACCCAGGGTGATGCTGAGCTCCAGGGCCTCGTGGGCGAACTCCAGGCCCTCCTGGGGTGTCTCCAGCACGGCCAGCAGTGCCACCAGCTTGTTACACAGCCGCAGCTCTGCTGCCTGGTTTCCCAGGGTTATGGCCAGGGGCAGCGCTCGGTCCTGTCCACAGCAAGGAGGAGCTCAGGCCAAGCCCACACGGGGCAAGGTGCCCTCACCCTCCTGTAGGGTCTGTGTGCTGCCTGGGCCCGGAGAAAGGACAGTCCAGAGAGGTACTGACCGCCCGGCTGAAGCTAGGGAGGCCACCCATCCTGGGCTACCGGACAGGGCCCGGCTGCCCGCACAGTGATGGGAACCCAGGGCCAAGCTACTCCCAAGCTCCGGGAACAGAGGAAGGGGACACTCAGTCCCCCACAGATGAGCTGTGCCTTCGGTGCACCCTCACGGCTCTCTGAGCCTCAGTTTCCTCATCTGCCTGGCGCAGACCCACTGCTCACCCTGGGAGGCCCTGGGTCATCTGGGGTCTCTGCCCCGAGGGCACCCACGGCGCTGCTCACCCGGTAGAAGGACACCGCTTTCTCTCGCTCCCAGGCCCCGTTGAAGAAGATGTCTCCGGCCGCCTCAAACAGCTCCAGCCCCAGGCTAGGGTCCCCAGTGTACAGGGCTGCATTCTGTGCCACCTGCATAGCAGGGGGAGCTCTCTGGGGACTGGGACACTCAGATCCCCAGCCTTCTGCTGAACCCCAAGCCCTCGGTCACAGGACGAGGCCCCTGGCCTCCACCACACCCAGAAGGGGTGCTCCACCACCTCTTGCCCTTCAATTCCACCTCCTGAGCCCTCAGGGAACCTGACTGGCCACTGCCACCATCTGTTTAACCAGCTCAGCTCCACAGGTGGGTGGATGCAGTGTCTTGCCTCCCACGCTGCCGGGCATATAATAAGTTCCAGCAAGTGCTCACAGAATGGGCATCTGGCCAGAGCCAGCTGTGCGCAGCTTCTGGGCAGTGCCAGGATCCCTGGAGCCTCTAGGCCTTTGCACCTGCTGGTCCTGCCACTGGATACCCCCACCCTGTCCTCCAGCTGGGCTCCAGGCCCCTATCCATACCACATCCCAGGACCCCACATCCCAGGATCCCTGCACAGAGGCCCCATCTCCTCTTAGCCAGATTCGCAGCCCTCGGCTCAGCGGAGAGGTGCAGTATGCTCAGAATCAACCCAGCCCACACCCTGTGTCCCAGCTCATGTGTGTTGGGGAAATAGCTTCTAGGATGAACGCATTTCCAGTGCATGATCTATGTACTGCTAAAGAAAGCCCTCTGGGTGTCTATGAGGGGAGAGATCACTCGTACACTTATTGAGTACTCGCTATGTACCAGCATGGTGCGGGCACTCTAAGGAGTTCACTCCTCCACCTCAGGAGCTCAGGTCATTGTCAGGGATGCTGGGCACTTGGGGTGACTGAAGGATCAGGGGGCAGGAGGGGAGGAAGGCACAGCGCCTGAGCAACACCTGCCCATCCATCCACCCATCCATCAACCCATCCATCCATCCATCCTCAGGTGCTCAGGAGTGAATGGAGGGGTGGGTGGGTGGTTAGATAGATGGATGGGCAGGTGAGTGATAGGTGGATAGCTGCATGGATGGACATATGGGTGCATGGCAGGCAGGTAGGTTGATGGATGGGTGAATGAATGGGCAGATGGACAGACTGGCAAGTGAATAGATGGATGGATGGATGGGTAGGTGGATGGATGGATGGATGGATGGATGGATGGATGGATGGGTAGGTGGATGGGTAGGTGGATGGATGGATGGATGGATGGATGGATGGATGGATGGATGAACAAGTGGGTGGATGAGTGGATGGATGAGTGGGTGGGTGGGTAGGTGGATGGGTGGATGGGTAGGTGGATGGATGGATGGATGGGTAGGTGGATGGATGGATGGATGGGTAGGTGGATGGATGGATGGATGGATGGATGGATGGATGGATGAACGAGTGGGTGGATGGGTAGGTGGATGGGTGGATGGGTAGGTGGATGGATAGGTGGATGGATGAATAGATGGGTAGGTGGATGGGTGGATGGATGGGTAGGTGGATGGGTAGGTGGATGGATAGGTGGATGGATGAATGGATGGGTAGGTGGATGGGTGGATGGATGGGTAGGTGGATGGGTGGATGGATGAGTGGGTAAGTTCACCTGCTCGTCCACACCCGAGTCCGCACCTGGATGTACAGATCCACCAGCTCATTTTGGCGCAGGATGTAGTAGATCTTCCCTGCCTGCAGCCAGGCATGTGCCTCTTTTTCCTTCTTCTGCAGGTCGATGAATATCCCCAGGCTCCGCTTTGTGTAGTCCAAAGCGGATCTGTAAGCCCTGGAAGCAGATAAAGCTGTTACAACTAGAGCTGTGGGACCCTCGCTCTTTCCACTAGTGGAGCACTGACAGACAGGCCTGGTGCCCCAGGACAGAAGGGACTCTCTGCTATGGCTGGCATCCTGCCCTGCCAGGATGCAGAGAGACTAGGATGACCTTGCACTCGAAGCATGGTGCTAGTCTCTGTCTGTCCCCCACTGAGCAGTCTGCACCAAGGCAGGGCTGCCCCTGACCCAAGGACATCTGGATACTCCCTGCTCCCAGCAAGTCCCCATTTGGACAGTGCAGTGTCCACCAGCCTGTGGCTCAGTCAGGATGGTTGGCTGCACTGTGTGACACAACTGGGACCTGATCTGAGCCTCCATCCCAGGGAAGCTAGAGGGACCCGGTCAGCCTTCTGTAGGTGACAAATTGTAAGAACACATGGCCACTGTCATGTCCAGGGGAACAAGGGACCCACCAGCTCCAGCCTCTGGCTGAGGCAGCAGCTGAAAGCTCAGGGCTCACCAAAGCCACCATGCGCAGGGCACGTGGTACATGCCTGTCAGCCCAGCACTTTGGGAGGCTGATGCAGGAGGATGACAAGTTTGAACCCAGCCTGAGAAACGTGGCATCTTAATGGTCTCTAGAGGGAATAGGGCCGGGTGCAGCTCAGCAGGAAGGCCCCAGATTCATTCCCCATTTTGGCAACCAACAAGTAAACACCACCCAGGCAGGAAGGAGGCCGGGGTTCTGTGCTGGCCTCTGAGAGAACCCGCATGTACAGGGTGAGGTGTGGGAACAGACAGGGCCTCTGCATCCTCAGGGAGGCTGAGCCAGGTTCCTGTGGTGAACGGCAGCCAGGATGACCCTGGGCCTGCCAGGCCAGGGCTGGCTGACCCTAAGGACTCCACGGTCCCCAAGGAGAGGGGAAGCTCCCTGCTGCCCACCCGCCATGCCCTGGCCCTTACCTCTCGGTGCCCAGCGACAGGTAGAGCTGGCTGATGGCTTCCAGGAGCTGCCCCTCCAGCACTCTGTCGGCCAGGCGCCGGGCCAGCGTGAGCTGGAACTCGAGGTAGATGACACACTGTGCCTCGTCGGGCACAATGCTGCTGTAGAAGTGGCAGAGCTGCTGGACAGCTTGCAGCTGGCCTGGGACACAGGACGAATGGTCACCTCGAAGCGCCACCGTGGCCAGGCACAAGGCAGAGCCCCCAAGGCCTCTCTACCTCCTCCGCGCCTCGCCTCCATGCCGGTCCTCGAAGATGGGGAAACTGAACCCAGAGGAGGCTGCAAAGCCTGACCCAGGTGTGGCACCCGGGCGAGGTCCAGGGACAGCACTGACCATTATGATGAGCCCCTGCCAGGGGTCCTGACCAACCTCCTGCTGGCCAGGATGGGGGCCAGAAAGTACCGGACTTCCACACTGCAGATGGACACGGACAGTGGGAGCCACGTGTCCTGCTTGGGCTGTGGCCACATGGTAGATGGCGCAGGTGGGCTATGTGCTCCAAGGCCTGGGCTATCTAACTCCAAACCACGGCCTCTCCTAAAGCTAGTGCTGACTGCGGATGGGACTCCTGCCTGAGAAATCACCTGAAGGCCAACCAGGAGACAGGAGGCCTTACCACACCATAAACCAGCTGGACCCAGTAGCCCCTGCAACACCTGCCCGGCACCAGGGGCAAATGGCCCTCTCCAGCCCGGGCCACACAGCAGCCACAGTGTGCATCTCAGCAAACAGAAAAGGGCTGGAACACATGGAATCCATTCTTCAGTTATTCTGAGGCAAAGAAGAAATCAGAAATAGAGTGCCAGTGTGGTGGTGCACACCTGTATCCCAGCACTTGGGAGGCCGAGGCAGGAGGATCACCACAAGTGTGAGGCCAGCCTGGGCTACATAGTGAGTTCAAGGCCAGCCTAAACTATGCAGCAAGAACCTGTGTAAAGCAGAAGAAGTCAAAGAAGAAGAAGAAGAAGAGGAGGAGGCAGAGGAGGAGGAAGAAGCCAGACACAGGGGCACATGCCTGTCACCCAGCAACTGGGTCTTCTTTGACTTCTTAATTTATATTTTGAGATAGTATCTCACAGTTTTCCAGGGGGGTTGAAAGTTCAAGCATAGTCTGACAAACAGTGAGATACTGTCTCAAAATAGAAGTTAACAAGGCTGCGGATGTGGGTCAGCGAGCGTGGCCCTGGGTTCCACTACCACGAAGAAAGGTTCCAGAGCTGGAATCTGAACTCCACCTTAAGAAACTAGAGAAGGAAGAGTTGGTTAATCGCAAAGGGAACAAAAGCAAGAAAATAAGTGACAGTCATAGAAGACACAATGAGAACACAGAGAAGAGAAAAGCAGTGGCTCAAGAGAGCACATGGCAAACCTCCCACCGGACGACGGGAGAAGCAGAGAAGACTGGGATCTCTAACCTCAGGCCGGAAGAGCGGCAGGCTGCGGGGGCGAGCACCGGAGCTGTGTGTAAGGCGGGAGCCACTCCCTGGCCCATGAGTGCACACTGCAACCACGTGACCCCAAACAACTGACTCAAGGCCCCGCGGTCCCCTCTGTGTTCCCAGGTCTGAACTCTGGGGCTCGGAGGAGGAGGTGCCACCTGCCTGTGTGGCCAGCATGTGCCAGAGCCACTGGCTCCTCCTGAAGATGCTGAGGCCCCTCCAGCCAATGCTGCCCATCAGGACCGCATCTGCTGCCTCCCTTCTCCTGTTCCCGTGTCACCTCCTAAAGCTCTGAACCCTCAGTGGCCTGTGCTCGGGAGTGAGAAGTGCCCATGACCCCGGGGCCCTGACCTGTGCGTTCTCTGATCTGCCTTGTGACAGAGCAACAAGCCACCCTGCGGGCTGGACAAGGACCTGGGGCACAGTGAGGACAAGCAGTGGTCCCCGTCCCAGCCTTCCCCCGGGACTCCACTGTCCTCTCAGGCAGGCTTCCCACCTGTCCCCTTGCTGGATCCCAGCCATCTCCTCCACCCGGTTTCTACCCACTGCACAGGCCACGGTGAGTACGCCGCAGCACGTGGGCGCCCCAGTGCTCCGCAGGAAAGTCAAAGCACAGCCCAGGCCCTGCCCAGCACCCTTGACGGAGGCCCTGCCTGCACCTAGGATGCCTCTCTGTGGACTTGAGTATCCTCTAGGCAGAGGGCATGAGAATAGGCAGGCAGTGGGCAGAGGCCCAGAGATACCTGGAGCCCTGGCACCTGGAGACTAACTTGTTTTCCGGCAGCACAGGCCTGAGCCTCCATGAAGAAGCGGGAGACCTGCAGCCCTGCTTGCCAGGGTGCGAGAGTTCTGTGCACCCTAGGACCACCGGCCTTCCCCGCCCCCTTGGGTCTGGCCCGGTGTGGGGACAGCCTGCCCCACAGGCCTTGTGTCCACCGCCCAGACTCTCTGAGGTGAAAAAGCAGCCCTGGCTGTGGGCTCCCGGCCCCAGGGTGTGCTCGGAACAGGGAGAAAAACCAGGGCTCCTTTCCGGGAGGTGTGAGCCCCATGCAGACCCAGGGGAGCTTGGGCAGGGCTGGGGCAGCACTTACTCTCCAGCTGTCCTGTCTCCACGGCAACCAGAAATGCCCACTGGTAATAGCACTTGCCCTGCTGCACCAGGCCCCGGCGGGTGTACAGTTGGCCCGTCCACAGCAGCACCTGCGTGAAGTCCCAGCCACACTCCCCGCTGGGCAGCTGTGAGAAGACCCCGATGGCCTCCAGGAAGTAGTGCTGGGCCAGCCTGCCGGCACCACCCTGCAGACACAGGGCCCCGAAGTTGGCCAGGACCACTGCCTGGTTCTGCCGCTGGCCTAGGAGCCGGGCCACGCGCAGCGCGCGGTAGTAGCCCTTGGCCGCCTGCTGGGTCCTTCCCGTCCGTTTCAGGGCCATGGCTGCCATGTTGGCCATCACCCCGTCCTGGTCCTCACTGGCCACAGCCGCATCCAGGACAGACTCTAGGATGTCCAGGGCCACGAGACTCTGTCCCTGGAGCATGTGCAGCCAGGCAAGGGCCACCAAATGGTCCACGACAGGGCGGGCCCCAACTGTAGCATCAGCTTGGGCCGCCTGCATCATGAAGGCAATGGCCTGGCCGTGCTGTCCATGGTGGCTGTGCAGCTGGGCCAGGCTGGCGTAGAGGGCACCACGCAGCAGCCGCCCAGGGCCTGCAGCTGGAGAGGTCAGTGCCTGTCTGAGGTAGTAGGCCATCTGTGCGGGCAGGCAGGGGGCCCTGCTCTGGGCCTGCAGCTGGGAGGCATTCTGGAGGACTAGGTCCATGCTGCGCAGGGAGCTGGCTAGCGACCCGCTCGTAACCAGCGAGGCTGCCCTGACACAGCTCAGTGCCAGGTGGGGCAGGCACTTCCTGCTGTAGGTGTCTGCCAGGAGCAGGTAGCAATCCACGGGCCACGCCGCGTACAGAGTCCCTGAGTCCTTGTGCAGAACCAGCAGCCGCTCCAGGTAGGGCAGGGTCTCCTCAGGTTGCTTGAGACGGACGTGGTGCTGGGCCAGCAGGAAGCAGGCCCGGGCCTCAGCCTGTGGGCTCTGGGCAACAATGGCCCGGCGCAGTGCGAACCTCAGGAGCTCGGCCTCTGCCTCGGTGCTGCCTGCATGGCTGGGTGTCCCCAGCAGTAGGGCCGCAGCCTTAGGCACTGCCTGCACACACTTCTCCCTGTTCTTCTGCTTCAGGTAGACGCTGGCCAGGTGGACATACGTGGCCACCACCAGGAAGAGGTCCCTGAAGCTCCCCCCCAGAGCTCCCAGGGCTTCCTCAAAGTACACTCGGGCCTGGGAAAGCTTGAGCCTCTGGGCACACAGCTGCCCCAGCAGGAAGCAGAGCCTGGCCAGGGCCATGCTGAGCCCGGCCCTCTTGGCTGCCCCCCGGGCCTGCGCCAGGCGATCAGCCAGATCCTCCTCGTCACCAAAGCCATCGGACAGGCTGCTCAGCCAGGACAGTGGGGCATCGTACAGGCCACGAAAGCTGGCCTCATACCCGGGGGCGTTCAGGAACTGCAGCAGGGAGCTTAGGGCCCCGGGGTTGGCCCAGCCGTCCTTGGCATCCAGGCAGAAGGGCGCCTCCTCAGGGACTGGCGAGCTCCTGCGTGCTGCTGGGGGCTCCCAGAACGCTGGCTCCTCGAGGAGACCCGGGCAGGCCTTGCACTGCTGTAGAACGTCCCTCACTATCTGCAGGGTCTCTCGAGGCTCTGGGGTTGGGCAAGGGGGCAGTGTCTCTGCAGGTCAGAAGAAGGCACAGCTGGTTAGCACAGGCCTGACTGCAGCTGCCCTGCCTGGGTGCCCTGGGAACCCGCAGTCCCCGCCCCAAGCTGTGCTGCAGATGCCACACACTGCATAGGGCACTGGAGGTCACAGAGGACCTGGGGACTTGGACGAGGACAAACCTGGTGCCCTCTCCCCTCCACCCTTGTCCGTCTCACGGGCCTCTCGAAGATCCCTTCCCCATGGAAAGGATGGAAGTAGCCTGACCCCTCTGTCCACATCCAGCGCTGCAGCCAGGGCATGTGGCTCCGTGAGCCCCCCAGGCCTTCCTGTCCACAGCCCATGGGAACTTTGATCAGCACAAGTTCAAAACACCATGCGTAAAGGACAAACCAGCCAGGGCGGGGCTCGGAGGTAGATCGCACGCCTAGCACATGGGAGTCGCTGGGGTCCATGCCCAGCACCAAAAAGACAAACATAATGGGACCAAACGCATTGGAGGAGAGGGACGTAGTGCCTGCCTGCCCAGTGCTGCAGCAGAGACACGGGAAGTTTTGGGACGCTCAGGCCGCCGGGGATGGGGTCAGTGTTCACAGCCAAGCCCTCCCCGCCGGGAAAGAGCAAACAAGCCATGTTTCCTGTTGGAAAAACATGGGCTGTGGAAAAGGTAATTATTTAGAAGGATCAGAACCAAAAAGCCTGCTCTGAGTTCATGCATAAAAGTGCTTTCGAAACAAGCACTCTCCTCACTGGTCTGAAAAGCCTTGCTGTTAGCAGACAGTGATGCATGATTTGCCCCTGCTAGACTAGCTAAGACTTCACATGGTGCCCTCAGGGTGCTTCCAGATGCTGTCCCAGTGTGGACAGCTGGGTGCCACCAGGACCTCTGCAGCACCTAGGCTCTTCTATACCCAGCTGGGGCCACTCCCAGGGAACTGCCACTCCAGCCCCTTAGCCAAGCAGATGGGATGGTGAGAGGTACCTTGAAAGGCCTGGGCCCCTCCAGAGAGAGCTGCTGGAGGGGCTTCCTCTCCAGCTGGGCTCCAAATCCCGGCCAGGGCAGAGGAATGAGGGCACCTGGCGTCCACTGCACCCAACACTGTGGCCTTCGACACAGCCCCCAAGGCCACAGACCGAGGAGCTGTAATCTCAGGCCTGCACCTACCTCGTCCCGGCAGCTGCTCACCCATGGCCTCCTCCAGCCTATCTGAGGAGGAAGAGAAGCATCACCACCTCCCTCCGGGACCTGGGACACAGCCCTGGCCACCAGAGCCCACACGGGCGAGGCTGGCCTGGGACTGGCACCCCCACCACATCGTCCAGGGGCCCCAGCCTGGGAGAGGGAACGTGGTCTGTCCTCATCCCTCTGCTTGCTGGGGTGCAGTCACACTGGCACCAGGACACCCTCCACTGTCCTGGGGTCCCGAGACGGCCCGATGCCTGCACCTACCCAAGCGGTACGCAGTGCTCTCGTCCCTGCCTGACGTCCTGCCCAGCAGCTTCCAGGCATCCTCCTCAGAAAAGCATCCCTCGCTGCTGAAGAAAGACCGCTCCCCCTCGTCCAGGAAAATAGCGCCCTCCAAGCTGGAAACAATGTGGGCTTTACATAAATCCTGCGTTTCCAGTGCGAAATAAGACACAGGAGACCAACCAAGGTGGCATCACTCGCGCTAACGTGCAGCCTCTGAGTGGAACCGGAGCTGGTGGACCTTACCAGAAGTCAGGAAATGCGAGCCAGGTCCCAGGCACCCTAGGACGCTCCCTCCGGGTCAGTCTTTACGGAGGACACCACCCAGGAACCGCGCCTCAGTCTCCTTTCTGTGTCCCCCTGTCCCTATCTTCCAAAGCCTGTGACCCACTCCTGCCTTGCTGTCCTGAGTCAGGAATACAAACCAGTCAGATGTGTAACCAAGGTCATCGTTTTGCCTTTTGACAAAAGTAAACACTTCATGGTAAAACCTGTTTCTACTCCCTCATTCGACAGATCTCGTCATACTTAGAGCAAGATGAAAACAACAGATTCTCTTCCCCACAGGACACTGGTCTGGCCGGGGACAAAAACCCAGGAACAAAGAAGGCCATGAGGTTGTAAGAGAGTGAGCTCCTGTGTAGCCACCAAAGCCCCACCACAAATGCCCTTTCCTCTGTAAAGCCTACTATGACAGTGGCATTGCTCCTCCTACAGCCTCTGCTAGTTTGTCCCATGGGGTACAACACAAAGAAGTCTCGTGGGTAACCCATAAAGTCAGAGAGAAGCAATGGAAAAGGGGAAAGGGAGAAAGTACCTTTTGCCTTCAGGACATTTTCAGCACAAAACAAAACTGCAGTGCAGCTTGGTGATGAACAAAACACCAGAGCAGCTTGGAACATTCTATAAAATAAGGGTCCTGTGCCCATCAAAAACGTCCACATCCAAGGACAAAGGTGGACTGACACCTGCCTCGGAGGGAGGAGGACAGGACACTGTGTGTGTGTGCCGGGAGGTCAAGAAGGTCTCTAACTGTAACGGGGCGCACCGGACCAGCTGGAAAGACGGGGCCCAGGCCTGAGACCCCGTGGCTTCGGCCGTGGCCTGAAAGGAAAGGATCCACTGAGGTCACAGCACAGGAGCGCTGGGTGCTGGCTCTGGGTGAGAGGTGGAGACTTCTAGACTCCTTGCAGCTTCTGAAAGTCTTCCCACAAGGCCACTCATCAAACCCAAGGGGAACCCAGGGTTTGGAGTCGGAACCACATCCAGCAATGTTTGCTGAGTAAGTGCCATCACGGGGGCTTCCGTGGCTGTCACAGGACCAATGGTCCCGTCACTCTTCCAGGCCAGGCAGGAGTGGATGGGAACGCCCTGCACGGGCCCCACATATCTGTGGAGAGCTGGGCCCCTTTGGAGATGGCTGGGCCAAGGCTGAGGCCCCCAAGGTCCCCTGGAGCCAGCCAGGCTAGGAGAGTTGATAAGAAAAGTGTTTGGAGGTGAGGGTGTGCGGCACACATCAGCAGAAGAAGAGAAGGTCTCCGACTGGTGGTCCCTGGAGCCCCGCAACGGGGCGTGGACAGAGCACTGCCCTCTCCTGGGGCCTGACAATGTCCGCCGTGACAGAGGGCCACCGGGGCATGCCTTTGGGAAACATCAGACCCTCAGCTTCCCTGGCCTCTGATGGACAGAGGCAAGGAGCAGACAGACCCAACCAGGGCAGAAGAAGGAACCCAAGTGGGCCCCGAGCTCGGGGCTGAGAGGTGCGGGCTTTTGCATTGCCCAGCCCAGCACAGGGCACCAAAGCTATTTGCTTCGTGGGAGGTGCTGCCCACACACCCCCTGCACCTGGGACCAAGGTCACCTCCTGGAAACGGAGTTCTGTCCCCAGGTGGCCACACCACCACTGACCACCCCAAAGCCCCCACTCTCACCCTGCCATTGCCCAAAGTCCCTCAGCTGGGGCTTGGGGACAAGCAGGTCACGGACGGAGCGGGGGCCCATGCAGAGGACAGAGCTGGCCCTGGCACAGGCCAGGGATGACCTATTATGGGGGACTCAGGGCCTTGGCAACAGGGTGGAGGGTCACACACGTCCCCTCAGCCTGTTACACAGGGCAAGCCTCTGGGTATGGGGTGTGGGGGAGGCTGAGGCCGACAGTTAACTGCAGGTTCAAGCCCAGCCTGGCAACTCAGTCTGTCCCAGAATAAAACATAAAAGGCTGCACCGTGGTGCGAAGCCTCGCGCACAGCTGGACTTGGGCTGAGCTGATGGCCAGCAGTGACCGAAGGTCATCGGGGCCCTGAAGGCTGGGGCAGAGCTCGGACAGGCTTTGTGAAGGGAGGGGTGCAGTGACCCCCAAATTCATGACTACTGGGACCCCAGACAGTGGCTGTTTGAGGTAGCTGGGTCTTTGCAGATGTGGTGGTCACACAGGAGCAGGGTGACCACAGCACCAGAGCGCCAGAGCAGGTGCCTGCCAAGTTGGGAAACAGAGTCGCAGACCCAGAGGAGGAGGCCGCGTGGATGCAGCAGCCAGCAGAAACAGAGGGAAGGAAGGGCCTCGGGGCCTCGGAGCACGCAGGCCACCAACTGCTGGCCCTGAGCACCCCCCCACCCAGTGAGGAAGGGAAGGGTACGTCCAGGCCTGGGTGCTGGCACCAGGTGCCCCCAGGGAGCAGTGGGACTGGCACAAGAAGGAGCTTCAGCCACTCACTCAGACGCGGGGTCCTGCAGGCAGATGACACTTGTGGGCACAAAGCCCACGCGGCCTGAGGCCACATGCCGGCCCACACACCAGGGCAGGCCAGGCACCCGGGCGCTGAGAAGCTCCAGGAGGTCGCCGGCACAGAGTGACAGCTCTTCAGGGCCAGAGCTTCGCCAGTCAGCCACGGCAGAGGCCCGGCCGAGGCCTGCAGGAGGAGATACACGGTTGGGACAGGGTCAGGTGGGCAAACAGGGTCCCCTCTCCCCCTCGGATCCCTGAGGAGGCATGGGTCTCACATACGAGGGTGGCGTGTTTGTTTGTTTGTTTGATCCAGGGTCTGAGTGTGCAGTGCAGGCTGGCCTTGAACTCACTATGGAGCCCAGGCCGGCCTGGGACACACTGTATTTGTTCTGCCTCAGCCTCCCAGTGCTGGGATTACAGGTGTGCACCACCACACCCGGCTTCAGAGGGGTGTTTTTACCATATGCTGCAGGTGGGAAGCAGAGGCCCAGAGACATGGAACAACTCAGCCTGGGCATCAGATTCCAAGCCCTCCCGTCCCCAGACCTAGGCCTGGTACCCCCAGACTCCCCGGGAGGACAGGGCCACAGGGATACTCACCCACCAGCAGGGTGTCGGGATCCTCAGGTCCACCCATGGGGTCATCAGTGGGGTCCCATGGGACCCTCAGAGCCAATCTGGAACAGGGAGAGGCATCTGTGCCCTGGGGCCCCCAGGGGCCTCCGAGTGCACAGGCCACCTACAGGTGCCCCCGTTCTGTGTGCATGGCCTGGTTCCCCCACCTAGGTGCACCCCGGAAGCTGTCTAGTACCCAGGATTAGAAGGGGTCTGGCCCAGGGCTCCTGAGGCCTGGGCCCTACCCTAGCTCTGCCCTCTCCCCGACCTTGTGCCAGCATAAATTGTTCCTCTCCCTGGGCCACGAGATACAAAGCCGACCGGGTGACCAGTAGCCCCTTGGGCTCCAACTAACATTCAGGAATCCTATGGCCTAAGGGGACAGCTGGGGGCCAAGGCCTCTGGGCGGGTCCCCCGGAGAGACCCTGGGTGGCCACTTCTCCCTTCTCCCTTTGCCTTTGGTTCCTGGGAGCTCCCAGCCAGGTCAGCCCCATGTCTGGCAAGTGACAGGTGCTCATGTGGCCCCGGGCTTTACCTGTGCTCAGTTTTCTTGTGGGCAGTTTGGAGTGGCACACTACCCTCTCTCCTCTGCATGCCAAACCCAGGGCAGCTCTGCCAGGTCCATGCCAGGGGCAGCCTAGACCCAGAGACCTCCTACCCCTCAGGGCCTGGGGGTCCTGGGGCTCCTCCATCCCAGGGCTGTGGGGGTGTCGGCGAGGGTGGTACCTACTGATGGAACGGGACCAAGGGTTCCTCCGCTGCTGCGCTGGGGCTGGGGCCCGAGGAGCCTGCTGCTGAGGTTGCCTCTCCCAGGGCACCCCCTGAAGCCCATCTGGGGAGTGAAGGCCCCTTCTTTGCACCCTGGGCACCAGACATCACTCTCACATGGTGATCAGGACACCGGACAAAGAAGGGCCCTTTGAAGGGACAGAGGTGTCAGCCAGGGGCCGCCCCAGGGACAGCTGAGGCTGTACCACCCCAGGGGTTCCCCAACTTCCCCAGCTCTGGGAAGCAGCTGCCTGGTCCCTCATTTTCCAGAAGAGTCCAGAGGAGAGCCTGGAGTCCCAGGTCGCCTCAGCTATCCTGTGGGCCTCAGTTTCCCCAGCTGTGCTATGCAGGGCCAGGCTTTGGCCCACAGAGCTCTTCCTGCTCGGACTGCCACTGAAAAGTCTGGCCCCAGCTGGGTGTCCCACACCCAGCCCTCTGTCCTGCAGACTGAGTGGGAGCTCAAGAGGCCAATCACACGACAGCTCCTGCTCTACTCCCTCGGGGAAGCCAAGTCCCCTGGCTGCCAGGACACGGCCTGGGAATCTAACGCATGTGCCCCTCGCCAAGGTCACGGCTGCTGCAGAGCACAACATTCACCTTCTTGGACCAGGAGACTCTCCTGCATCAGCCTCAGGGAGTCCTCAGCCACCTGCACTCGGATGGCCGCTGCCTCCTCCTCGCCAGGTGCCAGCAGCCAGAAGGTGGCGTCCACCAGCAGCGCCTCCAGGCAGTGGTGCGTGAAGCCTGCAAGGCAGCACTGGTCACACGCAGGCTCCCCCGAGGACAAACACCTGTGAGCCCTGCGCTCGTGGTCACCTAGTCTGACCGTCACCGTGCCCTGCCTGACCAGGGCCAGGTTACCCGGCCTCTGTGCCCCAGTGCGTTCCCACATCAGGTCAGGTCACAGGCTGTCCTGAAGCACAGACCTGCAGCCCGGGCCCAGGTGATGCCCTATGTCCTCCTGGGGGCCCCCGCTGGGGGTCTTGGGGAGTGACCCCGCTTTACCAAGAGTGTGGTAGGTGGAGAACTTCCAAATTTCCTCAAAGGTCTTAAATGTCACCAGGATCCGGTCCTGGTCGCTGTGGATGGACAGCAGCCTGGCCGAGAGCTCCTGGGGAGAGAGAGGTAGCACTGGAGGCTCCTGGGCCCAGGGTCGGAGCTCGGACAAGTGGCACTGGCTGCACGGCAAGCGCGTGGTAGGTCTCTCACAGCCCGAGCCTGCCACTCACTTGCTCCCAAGCTGCCCATGGCTCCCCAGGGCCTGAGGACCAGGCCCGAGTGCCTTCCTGGGCCTCCTGGCTCTGGCCCCTCACCCCTCTGTCTCCAGCCACTGTGCTGCCTTAACCCGCACAGAGCAGCACTGGCTGGCCCATGAGACCTGCTCGGGCTGAGCTGGAGTCTTCCTGGGCCTCAGTTTCTCCATCTGCACTATTCAGAGCCCCACACCCACTGGAGTTCAGCTCTGTCCCCAGGTCCCCCTCCTCCCCCATGGCAGCTGTCTCCCCTGCCATCCTACAGCCCCCCCCCCCCACTTACTGGCCTCCTGCACCCTTGGCACCCTTCCTCCACCAGGTCCCAGTGCCAGGTTTACCCCGAGCACACGAGCCACCTCCCGGCCGTCATTCTCCAGCAGGCGCAGGCGGCCACGCAGGGCCAGCTGCAGGCTGGGGTCTGGATGCCCACTCTTCCTGCGCATGGCCTGTAGCTGCAGGGTCAGGTCTGCAGGGTGAGGAGAGGTCAGGCAGTTGGCTTGGCCCCAGGCAGTGTGGGACCTGCTGCCCCTCCAGGCTCCGGCCACGCAACTGATGATGAAGCCTGGGCTGGGTCCCAGTGAGCCTCGAGGCAGAGTTTAAACCTCAGCAGGCTCCAGAGTCCCTGGGAGGCTGTGAGGGTCAGGGTCTCCCCAGCCCTGTCCCACTGTGTTGGAGAAGGCCCCTCGGGCCCCTCACCATGACAGCCTCCATAGACAGCCCTCGGCACCCAGGATCCGGTCCTCCTCTCCTCACACCCCACAGTCCTCAGCCAGGACCCTGCACCTGGCTCCGCCCAACTCTGGTCCTGTCACCCCAGAGCTCTGTGTGCTCCATAATCTTCAGTTTGGGCCACAAATGTCCCTTGGGTGTTAGAGGCCGGCCCCCAGCCTGCAGCTCTGATGGAAGCCTTTATGACTTCAGGGGCTAAGCACTTGGGGGGCTGTGGGAGCCCGGGCTCCCCATTTCTCTTCCTTCTGATGACAAGGTGTGGCTCTGCCCCAGCTCCCAGCATGATGCCGCCCAGAGCATTAGGGTGAGAACAGCCCAGGGCTGCAGCCCAAATGAACCCCGCTCGGGCTTTTTTATTGTGACAGGGCACTGCCAGTGGTCTCACCTGTGGGACATGGCACCGTCGGCCCAGGAGAGGGCTCAGCTGGCTCCTCTGTGCCAGGAGGAGCTACATCTGCAACACAGCAATCCCTGGTCACCTGGAGGATGGCATCTCTGCAGGGCCACGACCACTCCCCAGCCCCACCCCGGCCCACCCAGGAGGACACTACAGCTGGACCTACTGGGCTGCAACAAGTGTCCAAACCCCGGCCCCTCTGGATCTCAGGAGGGGTCTTGGGGGTTGACCCAGTGCAGGAAAGCTGATCCCGGAGCCTGAGGGCCAGCTCTGATCCTTCCTCTGCCATGGTCCCTCTGTCCCTCCATCCCCCTCCCCCGTCCGTCCATCTTCTGCTCTCTGCCCGACTCTGCCTTCCTTCCCACACCTTTGCTGGCTGTCCTTGCCCCGCCTGTGGAGCCCCTTGTTACAGGGTCCATGCTGGTCTCCCTCTCAGTCCCCTAAACTTATTCCATCCCCCACGGGGTGACACAGTGACAAGTGCTGGGGCCACAACACGACATCTTTAGGTCTCTTATTCGGCTGACGATTGGGGGGCTGGTGTCACCGGGGTCTCAGGGGTGGAGCAGAGTATCCCAAAGCTTTGCAGCATCGCTGGTGGGTGCCTCTCAGCCCTGCGTGTGGGGTCACATGGGTGCCACCGCCACCTGGAGAAGTGCGGGACCCACTGGCTGCTCAGTTCCCTGGGGGATGGTTCCTGGGGGTCCATGGCTCCAGGCCTGCCCCACCCCACCCCTACAAGCTGCACCCTCTCCCCTGTCTCCCCTGGCCCCCTTCTGGGAAACAAGCCAGATGGCACAGGGACCGGGGGCAGCAGTGTCAGAGCAGAAGGCCATGCTACTCAGATGGTGCTGGGCGTGGGGTAAGGGGTGAACCTGGGGTCCCAGGAGGTCAGGGCCCACAGGGAGACAGGGTGGCCCTGAGAGGACACATCCACGCCCCAAACTGGGGCAATTTGTTCAACAAAATAGTGACCACATGGCCCAGGAAAGATCTCTGAGGCCACAGTAAAGGAGATGAGGAAGGGTCAGGGGACCAGGGGACGAAAGCCAGCCCACTCATGCAGAAGGATGAGACCTTCAATGGCTCCTGGTTCTTGGACAAGCAGGCTTCACTACACCCAGTGCCTAGACAGGGCCAGCCTCCGTGGGCTGGACCCTGGGGACCAGGCAGAGAGGGAGGACACTGTCCACCCCAAAGGAGGAGCCCAGGCAGGGGCCACCTGGGCAAGTCCTGTGTCTTGCTCCTGTCTCTGCTGTGTCCAAGGGCGGAGGTGAAGGGACCCAGGTGGTCACCGAGGCTGCCCTCCCGTTACTCAGGATTAGAGCCCTACGTCCCGGGAGCAGCACCCCTTGTGTGCTCTGTGCCATCTCTGCTGACACCCACGAGCCCCAGAAGAACGCGAGCTGGTCTCTGCACACTGGCCCACATTTCGGATAGGAGACCCAAGGGCTGGGCCAGGCTGCTGCCCGGGAGGGTGGGAGGGCGGGAGCAGGAGTGCTGGGGCTCACCTGCACCAGCCACCTCCTGGGTCTCCCTCAGTGCATCCAGGGCTGCACTCCGCACCAGGTCACTGCCGCCACTTCCCCCTGAGGGCCTCCCAGGCCCCCTGCCCATGGCAGCTGGCTCCGAGGGGGTCAGCTCTGTGCGGCGCTTCATGTCCCACGGTGGCCTCAGAGCCAGGGGCCCCACATCCCTCCTGTGTGAAAAGGAGAGTCCCACTCAGCAGCCCTGCTACTCCAAGGACCAGGCTGTCCTGTTCCCGATAGTCAGCATCAAGGGGAGAGAAGCCACATGGCAACCCCCAAGGGTAGCAAGTGACCCTGCATGAAGGGTGCGCAACCTGCCTCACCCCTCTGCCAACCTCTGCTCCTCGCCTTTGCTGGGCCCCTGCTGCCAGAAACCACAGGGCCTTTGCACAGGCTGCGATAACCACTTGCAGCCTGCCGCCCCTTTGCAGGGTGGCTCCCGTGCACCCTTCCAGAGTCAGCTCGGCCAACTCCTCCCGGTCAGCCAAGCCCCTGGAACAGCTCTGTTAAGCTTTGCACCAGCATGGACATCACAGCCATCTCACTTTCCAGGATGTCCTTGAGCAGGGACTCCTGTGTGGCTGTGCCCCTGCCACACAAGGATCCGGTCCTTATTCCCCAGAGACCCTGTTATTACTGACCACGACCCCGCCCCACCTGAGCTGGCTATGCCATGTCCAGCCTGCCCTGGGTGGCAGAGACAGAGGGAGAAGACCAGGCCTGCTGTATCTGGGATGCAGGCACAGGGTGGACAGCATTGGCTCCTGGCTCCCTGGTGGAGGGAGCGTCACCTGGCCTGGGGGGACCTTGGGGACAGCAGGGAGGCAGCTGTGTGATCCCTGTGGAGGGGCTCCTGGTGAAGGGCTCTGCCCTTGTAGAAGCCCCTGTAGAAGCAGCCGCACTGCCCTTCCCCCAGAGCAGCCCTGGGCAGGAAGGGGGTCCAAGCATGGAGGAAGGAAGATGCCCCAGAGTGGTGGCCCCAGTGCTGGGTACTGCGGGGAGCCCTGGCCATTAGAGGTGGCAGAGTTTCGAGCCAAGACGAGCCGCACGCCACTGTTCTGTCCCCACCCGGTCACGCCTGAGGAGCTCTGTGGCCTCCTTCAGGTTGTAGTTCCTGCACCAGCAACCCTCCCCCAGACCCAAGTCCACTCTGAGCCTGGACTTTGGCCCCCTCCTCTTCCCTCCTGGCCAGCCCCCCTGGCTCCTCCCTCCATGGGTGCCCACCACACACTGCCCACCGCCCACTGCCCGGCTTGTCTGGAAGACCCAAAGCCCATGCCTTGCTGTCCACATGTGTGACGCACGGGAGGGAGGGCTCCTCCAGCAGCTTCATGGCTGGGGTCCGCCAGTGCTGCCTCCCCACCTCGTGCTTCAGGAGCCAGGTTAACATCCTCTCTGCAGGTGGACAGTGCGTACTGGGCAGGGTCCCTGTGTCACCTGGCCTGTGCCCAGTATGACTGCCTGCTCCCCAGCCTCTGCCTGGACAGGACGCGGCTGGTGCTGGAAGGGCTACAGGGACTGGACCCAGAGCAGGTGCTCAGGGACGTCCTGAGGAAGGGGGCCCGGCTCCCGGAGTGCCCCACCTGCTCGGGGAATGAACAGCTGCGGCCATGGCGGGGGGGGTGGGTACTCAGCAGCGGGAAGTGGGCTATATCCCATGGCTGTGTAGGCGGAAAGCCGCCCACCTCCTGGGCCCAGTGCCACATTGGTCACAGACTCAGGAGCCCAGACTCAGCCTCAGGGGGCATCAGGCACCCCTGAGTCAGTTTGCTGAGTTTAGTTGACCCCTGGGCATCCAGCAGAGACTATCTTTCCTCCTGGCTCTTTGGGAGATACAAACCCAGTCAGCCTCAGGCTGAAGGCCTAAGACTGTGGCCTGCTTGAGTTTTGTTCCTGTTTTTGACTTTTTGAGGCTGGGTCTCACTATGGAGCCCAGGCTGGCCTTGAATTCACACAGATCCTCCCGCCTCAGCCTCCTGAGTGCCAGATTTACAAGTGTGTACCTCCAAACTGGGCTAGCCCACCTGAGTTTGCAGCCAGAACACAGAACCTTGGGGTAAATCTCAGTGGAGCTTTGGGTTAAATCTCTATGGGAGGAAACTCAGAACAGGAACTGGGCAAGAATGATATTTTTTGCAGAAGTTGTTAGTTTTGATCATGACAAGGCCATGCCAGACAAGGGTAGCCACCACCCCAGGTCTGCTGTCCTGTGAGGAAAGCCAAGCGACCACACAATGGACTGGGAGGCATGGCCAAACTGAGGAGCCCAGGCCCAAAGCCGGCGGAAGGAGACACCAGGGCCCATTGACTCCCCGGGGGACACTGTCCCTGAGAGCCACCGGCTGGCCTGGTCTGTCACGCAGCTACGGGATCCCACACTGTGATGGTCCCTCCTGCGTGGACCAGGTGACTTCACAGAGGAAGCCTCGAGCCTTGGCCATGTTGGCAGCTCTGTGACCCAGCCACACACCGCTGCCCCACCTCCCAGCACTGCCATAGCCACATGTGTCCCCTCCCCAGTGCAGCTGTGCTGCTGGGCAAGGCGGGGTCCCAGGCCATACCTCAGCCTGCGCCCTGAGCACAGGCACCCCAGTGTTTAGGAGGCTGGCCCCTGCATCTCCACAAATTCACAGGAAGGAGATCAAGGGACTGCAAGCGTGGTGGCGCACACTTGTAATCCCAGCTCCTGGGAGGCTGAGGCAGGAGAATGGCCTTGAGACTCCTGTCTCAAAAACCTAAAAGGAACCAATGGTGGCCTTGGTGTGGCCCAGTCTCAACCACAGTTGCTCTGTGGGCTGCACAGAGACACTGCTGGCACTGGTGCACCTGCAGGTGCAGCCTTTGGTGACCTAGCAGGGGACCCCGAGGTGGCTCAGACCCTGGGGACGTGAGCCGTGGGTCAGCTGACAGCTCCTTACTCTGGTTTTTGCTCCCACAACTCCAACCAGTCTGAAAAGTCTTCCAAATGTGAGGGAGGGTGCTGCGCTCAGACTGGGCTCTGTCCACACAGCCTGCTGGGCGAGTCCATGCCACTCCCACCCAGACCCTGCCCCGAGCCCCGAACCTGCACTCTGTACCTGCACTCCGCCGTCCAGAGACACCCCCAGGCCCGCCAGGCCAGAGGAGGACGCGGCACCACACAGCTACTCCCAGCTCAGTGCGCAGCGCAGACTGGCCCGCAGGGCTGTCTCCAGCTGGCCCGGGCCGGCAGGGGCCGCCTCCAGCAGGGCTGAGTGCTCAGCCGCCCCTGCTTCCTGCCCACTTCCTCTGCGTCTGGGGCCAGGTTGAGCGGCAGCCCAGCTTCAGACTCCTGGCTGGACTGGTTGATCATTAGCTCCCTGCTGGACTGGCGCCAGGCCCGGCCAGCCCGCACTCTGCCAGCCGCAGCGCCTCAGGAGAGGCCGGGGACACCCAGCTCCCACGTGGCACAGGGATTGGGGAAGTCAGTCAGCTGCCAGGCCCTGCCGAGCTCTGTGACACTCTCTGTTCCCTTTTGCCTCTGTGCGCGTGTGAGAGCGTGTGCACGCGCATACACACACACACACACACATACACACCCCTGGTGTGCACCAATGTGTGCGTGCGTCCCAGGCACATGTGTGTGCTCATGGGTACACGAAACACAGTGCAGTCCTGACCCTTCTGGAGAAGAGGGGGTTCTCCTCCCTCAGGAGCCAGGCCGGTGGGCCCAGCCTCTGCCTCCTGCGAGGCTGCAGGCAGGAACCAGGTCAGGAACAGGACCCTGGAGGCCAGGTGGGGTAACCAGCTACACCCTTGGGAGCCCAGACTGGGTCTCATGTGCACTTGGGAGAGAAGCAGGAAGCAAGCACAGGCCCCTGGGATGGCACTAGCTGGTCCCCAACCCACTGTCCTCCCATCCTGGAGGGTGGTGCCCCTAGGGATGCCTGCTTTCCCTGCCATCTGACTGCAGGCCCTGGGGACCGGACTACTGGCAGACTCCATGTCCACACAGGGTCCAGAGGCATTTCCTGTCCAGGCCTTTGTCCTCCCCATGGCCAGCAAGCCCAGACCCCCCACTTCCTGTTTGTCTCAGCAGCTGCGCTCTTGGTCCAAGGCCAGGGGCTTCCCCAGATGACCCCCGACCCTGTGCAGGGCGCCTCTGCCTTCCGGGGAGGAGCCGGGGCTACTGGGAGAATGCAGACAGTTTCGAGGGTCCATCTTGACCCAGTGCTGGCATAGGGTCCCTTGGGAACACCGTTATAGCACCAAGCCTGTTTCCCCTTTGCCAATGCCAGGCACGGGCACCGAAACCTGACTCCTCCATGGCTGTTGTAAATCCCACCCTTCCCTGCCCAGGGAGATGCTGTGTGCCCAGGTGAAGAGGGGGCATACGGAGCATCCCAGGGGACAGGAAGCACAGTACAGTACCAGTCCCGAAGTAGCTGACAGCTGTGCCCCCGACTCAGGGCTGCAGCCACACAGGGCCTGGACGCTGGTGGTCTGTCATCGGGACCCTCAGTGCCCAAGAGACGAGCTCTCAGTGGGAGGGCAAGGTGGCAGTGTGTATGCTTCAGGCTTACAAGAGGGGAAACTGAGGCTCGGGAAGAGGACCACCTTCCCCCGCACCTCGATGGTGACTCGGGTTGGGCCTCCAGGTCCTGCTCGGGGCAGGGACAGCACTATCTCTCTCCTGCGCTGGTTCCTCCTGGACACAGTTTTCCCGGGTGACGAGGGCGCCACTGCCCTCACATACTTTAAGGCCCACTCATTACTGAATCCCACCGGCCGGGGGTGGCCTGTGGCTGGCGCTGGAAGGGACACCCAGAGGGGACCAGAACAGCAGCCAGGCATGTATTTGTAGCTTTGGCTGCTGAAACCATTGCTGATCAAAGACACCCAGAGCTGCAGGCCTGAGGCGACAGAACTGTGCTCTCAGAACCAGGACCAAGCAGACAGACCCCGCAGATGATGGAAGGCCCCAGGCCCGGATGGGTGGCTTGGCCATAATCAGTCAACTTCCTGCAGGAAGCGGTCAGCAATTCCGAAGACGCCTGCTCCTGCCTGCTCCCGCCTGCCCAGGGAGGGGCCCTCCACAGTCACCCCAACCTCAGGCAGAGCCAGGGCTCCATGGGGACAGGGATGGGTGTAGCCTGGCCCCAGACGGTGCTGACTCTGCAGCTAGCAAGACTCTAGCTGCTCTTCCTGTTGGGGAAGCCTCAGCCTACCTGCCACAAGGACTCCTCGGAACAGTGCTCTTCAAGGCCCCTGGGGGAAGCTGGCCAAAAAGGTCATATGGCTGTCTGCAGAGGGAACAGGAGGTGGACAGCCCACTGGACCTCTACTCTTTGGGGTGCACACAGGAGGTAGGATAGGAGCCAGGCTATAGGGGTACTCTGTGGCTACCCCGAGAGCCTGGGGAAGTCGGATCCCTGCTCAGAGCAGAGAACTACAAACCCATCTGCACCGCCCGATGGTCCCAAAGTGAGATGTGGTCACTGGATTCCTGCTGCTCCCCAGCACAACCATAACAGGCTGGACTTAATCTTAGTTGGTACTCACATGAACCCCCGACACCCAGCTACCTAGAACCAGGACCCGAAGACCATGTGGGACGGCAGGGCTGGGGATCTCCCTGCTACCCGGGCACAGGGAACTCTGTGGCCATCAGAGGCCACTCAGGTCCTCCTAGCACAACCTGGGGTGCTGTGCATTCCAACCCTTCCAGGCCCCTCTGGCACCCACCACCAAACCGCACTTGCCTCAGTCTCCGGCCCTGCCACCACTGCTGAAGGCCAGCACCTTCCCTGGCCACATTCTTCTGGCCTCTGGGTGGTCCTGGTGCTGCCCGGGTGTCCAGCCACACCCACACTGCACCTGGCTGTCACCCCTTAGTGTGAGCCAGACTTCTTTTTTTTTTTTTTTTTTTTTTGTCTTTTCGTTTTTTATCGGTACCAGGGATCAAACTCACGACCGCACACTTGCAAGGCAGGCTCTTATGCGGCTGAGCTAAATCCCCAGCCTCGTGAGCCAGACTTCTAAAGCCTGCTGTCCACACCAAGGATGCCCCAGCCCTGATGTCACGAAGGCAGCCTGGGCAGCTGCCCCCACCTTAGCCCCACCGCATGCAATCTCCCTGTCCCCACTCAGTTCCACACCCACTGTCTCCGCTGGGACCCCTGCCCCTGCCTCATCTTCCCCCCAGGAGCAAGCCTCTGGTCTACTCTGCACCCACAGCTCTGTGTCCACACAGCACTGCGAGCCCTAACCCAGCTCCCAGCATGGCACAGTGCACAAAGGTGGGCCACCTACGGCTGCCCTGGCACCCTCGGCCCTGAGCTCCGAGGGTTCACACTGAAGGGCGTGCAGAAGGGCACAGCCCCGGGTGAGCTGAACGAACCCCTTTCCTGCCCTGCTTTCTCTTTCCTCTTACTACTATTTTTTGAGACAGGGTCTCCCTGTGTGGTTCAGCCTGGCCCTGCACACATGGCCACCCCTCCACCTCAGCCTCCCGAGTGCTGGGATTACAGGTGTGGCCCCCGATGCCCTGCTCTGTGCACATCCACTCCCACACTGCCGTCCTGCTCCCTGGGTGGCAGCTGTGGGGGGGACACATGCAGGCACAGAGCCAGCAGCCCCTGCCCCAGCCCAGCTGCACCTCCCCGACACTGGAGAGACAGACATAGGCGGCATCTTCTCAGGCAGGTCTTCCCGGCAGGCTCTGAGCGGCAAGCCCCACGGCAGGTGACAGGTGTCAGCTGCACCATCACCTTCATACACCTTACCCCACCTGTGCCCAGCCGGGATGCCTCCTAGTGACGTCACGGGGCGTGGCCAGAGGCCAGGCCAGGAGCCAACTCAGGTCTTCTCTCCCCAGTGCAGGGCTGGCACACTCTCCACCCTTCACCCTGGCACAGAGGCCACAAGAGCCATGAGGGCAGGGATCCCCAGATGAGCACACACACCCCCGCCTTGGCTGCCTGCCTGGCCCGGCACCTGAGCAAACTTGGGCCGCAGAGGGAAGCAATGGCTCATCACAGAGCAGGCCCAGGTGGCAGCGCCCTCTGCTGGGCTCTGCCCAGAGCTGACCCCCAGGGACAGTGCTGGACCAGACAAGTGACCTTGCCTCTTGTTTCAGCCCAGGAGTCAGGACAGCCGAGGGGGCAGGTATGGACACCAGCTCAGCCTCAGTGGCTGGACAGGCAGGCTGAGAGGCAGGGTGCCGTACACCTCCAATCCTGCCTGGGGACAGCCGGGGACACCTCAGTCCTTGCCACAGTCGTGAAATCTACTCTGTGACAGGAAAATGACAAGGTAGACGGGGAAGCAATTGGGAAAACAGAAGTAAGGACGTGAGCATAGTGGACGGACTGACAGACAGATGACAGATGATTAAACAGGGGACTGAATTGGATAGATGACAGGTGACACATAGGTCCCTGCTAAAGTGAGATGAGCAGTTGGTTGACCAAAGGGTCTATCAGCCAAGGGGGCGCAGGCCTGACAGAGCACCCAGAGGCCGAGGCCAGAACAATCTGAGCAACGAAGCAAAGCCCATCAGACCGTAACCCAGTACTAACACCCCAGGGCGGCGGAACGGGAAAGTGACCTGGGAACCCGGTCAGCGGGGGGAAGGACCCGCCCCTCCCAGCCAGAGGACACTGCGCATGCTGGCCTTCTCAGTGTGCGTCCCCCCAGGGGACAGTGCAGGATCTAGGACAGCTGTCCTGACCGTCGGGCTGGGGGAGGCTGCGGTCCAGGGAGAACAACATCTATACCGCCAGCCCCGGGCCTGGCCACTGGGAAGGACGGAGACTCACAGGAGGGGCAGGGGTGTCACTCGGCACCCACATCGGCCCACAGTGACCTGAACCAGACAAGGATGGAGGCTCCCATCTGCTGCCTTACTATCTGGGCCAAGCTGCCCGCCTGCTCCCGCAGGAAGGAGGTGCGCTGGCAGCTGCAGACCTGGTGGCACCACCCATGGGCAGGCCCTTGTCACCGGAGGGGCAGGTCCCTGAGGCCCAGGGAACCGAAACCACAGGCACCCCTGCCCTTTGCTCTTTGGCCCACACAGGAGCCGGTGGACAGCTGCTGAGGATGGTGAGACCTGGGAAAGGACCGGTCTCTGTAAGTCTCCTCGCCCTGCGCACCACACGGTGCCCACGGTGCCCACGGTGCCAGGGCCCAAGGAGCCAGAATGTGGCTGGTGGGAGGGAACCTCAGAGGGCGAAGCGCATCCCCAGGAGGGGAACAGCACAAGGGTGCACAGGGAGGCTGGGGTGAGGGCTCCCAATGCTGCTGCCATCATTGGTGCAGGCTGGCACGGTGAGCGTCTGGAGCCCTGGAAGGTCACCACACAGGACCTGGGAGGCAGCCAGTCTCCCAGCAGAGGAGCAGGCAGAGAATAGG